AAAAAAAAATTGTTTTTCACTAGCAAGTATAGATCAGCAATTTTTTCCGATGTTACCAAAAAATAAACACCATATTTTATTAAAATTAGCTATCATCATCTCTTAAAAATATTTTTCAGCTATCTTAAATTCTTTTCTTAAGATTTTGGATAATAATTTCTATGTGTTTACGGTCGATATTATATTTTTCTAATGATATAACACTTTCGAAGATTTAGCTGGGGAAATAATTTTTAAATTCGGAACATCAAAAATTCAGTAGTACAGTTTCCCACGTGTTACTACACACACATATATATATATGTATATATATATATTAGATTGGTGCAAAAATAATGACGTAATAATGTCGTTTTTTATGTATTTTTTAACGTCAAAAACGACATTCTTACGTCATTATTTTTTTTGCACCAACCTAATATATATATAGTTTCCAGTGTTAATATATATATATATATATATATATATATATATATATATATATATATATATATATATATATATATATAGGTATAGGTATTAATCCGTTGATATATAATCCAAGTGAATATTAATAAAAATATTAAAACTGATCCCAAAAGAGAGCTCAATGTATTTATTCTAAAAGTGCATATAAATTACATATAATAGGAATTTAAAATTACTTCATAATTATGATCATTTCAGCTTACAAGTTAAAAATTACTTGCAAGGATTTCCAAACCGATCAAGGCAATAAGATAAAATATATTTTTAATTTCATCTATGGGTAAATAGCAGGACAAACCAGGTTCTATAGCTCAGGATGGCAACCTACTCCGGGAAAAATCTGCCTCGTCAGTTATGTGTCAAATAATACATGATCGCCTAAGCGTGTATCACGCATGGCACATATTTGACTGACACACCTTGATCGGTTTGAAATCCTTGCAAGTAAATCTAAACTTGTAAGGTGAAATGATCATAACTATCAGGCAATTTTAAACCCCTATTGTATATAAAATAATACATATATATATATATATATATATATATATATATATATATATATATATATATATATTAATTTCAAGTTAATAGATTAAATTTAATATTTCCTATTATGCTAGAGAACTTATATTGATTGTAATTATTTTTTAATTAAAATTGCTAAAAATCAGCCATATTAGAGAATCTGTCCACACAAAAAAATACCTTTATTAAAAAACTAGAAAAATTTTTTCTGAAACTTTATTTGAGTAAGATTAACTGATTTAATGATTAATTAATCTGATTTTAAATAAATATTACTTACTTTTAATATAAATATCGTTGAAAAGCATTTTTAACAAGGAGGTGGGTGCATTTATGAATTGTTGATAACTTTCTCGATAGACTTATGTTTGGAAGTTTCTTCTACTGTTTACATAACTCTAATAAGTTATTGTGGAATATAGACGAACGCCTTTTTTACATAAGTTTTAAGTACTCAATAGGGACATATTATAAGTAATCTAATATTTTACTGAATTTAAGTTTGGCTCACTTACGATGACCCTTGTCGAAATGCTAGAAAATTTGAAAACATTTTAAATTTGCAAAAGTTGCTACTCTTATTTTACTGTAATATATTGTATGGACGCCCGTATTTACAAAAATCGACACATTCATACAAACATAAAAATATTCAAAAATATTTTTGTAATACTGTAGGTTGGTAGTAAGCTTTTCCATTGATGATTAGTAAATATAATTTTTACTTAATAACAATATCAGCTAATCGGTACAAATTAATACAGAATTTTAAATGATTCGAAACTTGATAAATTATTCAAATTAAGGTTTATAAGAATTAAAATAATTGTTGCAAAAATTCATTATTCACCGGAAAAAATGTTTTTTATCTTTATAATGTTTATAAAATATAATATTCATCAAAACAGTTTTTCTAATTAAATAAATTGTTAGTTTTATTTTACGTTTCAGAACTGTTTCTTTCTCAATGGAAATACTGTGTTACAAAACATTGATGATTTAAACCCCACAAAAAGGAATTTCTAGAAATATATATATATATGTGTGTGTGTGTGTGTAAAGCTGCTTTGTCGTAGAAAAAATACATCATAGCATGATGAAAAAAGAGCTCAAACTTAATAAAAAAATAAGTTTTATCTTCAAAATGTCCATGTTATTATTAAATGCAAAACCCAACGTATGTTTTATTATTTATTAATTTCTTTTAATCGTTTCTTTTGGTTAAATTCTTTATTTTATTTTTAACGTAATTGTAATGTATTTTTAGCGTAATATTTATGATTATTGTTTCGTCGCCTTTTACAGGTGAAAACACATTGATTTGGAAATTCTTGAGACAAGGGGTGACTCGCTGTGGAAGAGTCAGAAACGGAAACATTGAAAAGAAGTGTAATCAGGTAGGCAGCTGATAGCGATTGACGTTGCATTTAAAGTTTTGAAGTTTAAAGTGAACTGGAAATCATGGAGCCAGAAGGGAGTTCCACGAGCGAGAATTGCGAGACAAGAAATTGTTTGCATACACTTAACGGCTACATCGATCGAGCTCAACTTTAAAATGATGAGATCTCGTCCGGCGTCGAAATCTCATTAATCTTAAATTAAAAAAATAAATTCTAGAAAACATAGCGAAGATCGCATTGGAACAATTACCATGAAATTATTTATAGAAAAGGTAGAGTTAGGCAAAGTTACGGCGGTAGGAAAATGACTAAAGCCGAGATGCCAGAACAGGACCGTTATTATTGCTGATTCTTTGGATTTCATCATGGTGCTATAGATTAATATAAAGACGGAATGCCGTCAAACAAAACGGTCGCAATGTGGAACTAAAATATGATATTTATACCATACATAATTTGTAAAATTTTGATAATTTTTTCCTTTTTAAATAATGGCGATTTTTCCATTAAAAATTATTTTTTAAATAATTATTTATAATGAACTTGATCTCAAGCGTGAATATTCAATTCTTAATCATCTCTTAGATATTTTATTAGTAGTTTGTATAATTAAATGCACCCAGCTTCTTTGTAAATCAGTAATTCAAAAGAGAAAAATATATACATGCAAGCGGACCATGGAAAATTTGCAAGTCAGCATTGACAGCAAAGAAAAATAAATAAATAAATAAATAAATAAAAAAGTGAGAAAGAGAAAAAATACTGTCTTTAAATGTTAAGAGCGTTATCGGACAGTTGAATCCGGTGGCGGGTGGGTTTCTCTTGCTAATGAATTGAATGGGTCGCAAAAATTGGGAGTAGTATGACGAATGGGCGGGAAGGGTAATACTTGTGTCTTCGGCCATTTGTACGGTCGGGGTTAGGAACGGAGAATCAGTACACGAGCGAAACGAATTTAGCCATAGGACCGTAAAACTGACTTTGGAAGAAGCGCAAAAAATGAAATCAAAAGAATTTTTTTTTTTTTTTTAAATAAAAAATGAATGAAAAAAATATCCGGAAAAATGAAGATAAAATCCATAATATAAAGCAAAGTGATTAATGTTTTGTCTTTTCTTTTTTTTTTCTTTTTTTTCCATATTATATTTTTTCTCTCCTTACATTGTGGTTCTTTCTTTGAAATATTAATATCCTGTCATTTCTTGCATCTTGAGATCTTCATAGGATTTCACGTTCCTTGCAGGAGATAAACATTAACAATAACAACAAAATACTCTTACAAAATGCCATATTGTCTGCCGAATAAAGGTTTTGATGCCTTGTGGTTAGGTAGGGATGGTGTCCAAATTTCAGTTGGCAAAGCCTTGTGGGTCAAGGTTGGCTCGTTTAGCGGACAGACAAGGAAGTGGAAGAATAGAAAATAAAATCCTTCCCGACTTTTTGTCTGTCTGTGTTTGTGGAGTGGACAAGGAAATATATAAGAGAAAAGAGATTTGAAAAAAAAGAAAGAAAAATAAAAACCTCGCGTGCACAGAGATGGCCGAACAGTTAGGATTTACAAAAAAGTAAAGTGTGATGAAGGGCTTCGGAAAATAGGGTAGATTAAAAAAAAATATTTCGATAAGGCGAGATATACTTAAGGCGAATATAGCAAGAAAGAAAGTTATTTCTGAAATTAAAAGAAAGGAAGTGACCAATAGAAGAAGTTATGGTGTGAAAGCAATAAAAATGATATAATTGCACAGCGAGTGAAATTAACAGTTACAAAACTTCAACGTGTAAAAGAAAAATATAGATACGCCTTGATAGGTAAACCTACTTCCGTGATTAATTCAAATTTTTCAGTTGAGTTTTATAATAGACAATTTTTCTCACAGTTCGTTTTCACAGAAGCACACTTGAAGAAAATTCAAGAAGGAATCCTATTTAGGATTTGGTTTCTGGTTCCTTCTAAAGTCTGCTTCAAATCTCCGTTTAAACACTGACATTTTATTTACTATTTAATTTAGTTTTCGTTAACAGGAATAGATAGGTTCGCCTATTATCTGGTTCCCAGTCTTTCCCGGTCTTTTGAGCAGGAGTTTAATCTCTTTAGGATTGGGTTTCCGGTTCCAAAAGACACTTTCACCCACAGTAACCCCCTTCCGTATTTGAGGAATTATCACTTTGCTTCAGTTTGCAAATATTAGATTGATTTATTTATTTTCTTTATACGGTTTGTCTACCTTTTGCAGATTATTTAAATCCAGAAATTATTTTTAGATTGCAAGAATTTGGGGGAGATAATAAAGATTTACTGATACAAGCCTTACTAATTAACCCATAGATGGAGGGAGAAGAAGTTAATCAATAACTTTATCAAGGTTATTAGCGTGTACGGGATTATAACAAGCACAACTGGAATTGAACCTAGACCCACTTATTGCCAATTCTGCGTAGTTATCTATTACACCCGGCACATCCAAACTTATAGCACTCGGTATTCCCAAGCAGTCACCCATCTAAGTACTGACCAGTCTCGATGTTGCTTAATTTCGTTGATCGTTCGAGAAAATGAATGAAAGAAATAAAAAAGGAAGTAAAATGAGAAAAAGAAAGAAAAAGGAATCAAGAAAGAAAATGAGTGAAAGAAAGAAGGCAAAAAGAATGAATGAAAGAAAATGAATGAAAGAAGAAAGGAAAATGAAGGAAAGAAAATGAATGAAAGAAGAAAGGAAAATGAAGGAAAGAAAATGAATGAAAGAAGAAAAGAAAATGAAGGAAAGAAAATGAAGGAAAGAAGAAAGGAAAATGAAGGAAAGAAAATGAAAGAAGAAAGGAAAATGAAGGAAAGAAAATGAATGAAAGAAGAAAGGAAAATGAAGGAAAGAAAATGAAAGAAGAAAAGAAAATGAAGGAAAGAAAATGAAGGAAAGAAAATGAATGAAAGAAGAAAGGAAAATGAAGGGAAGAAAATGAATGAAAGAAAATGAATGAAAGAAGAAAGGAAAATGAAGGAAAGAAAATGAAAGAAGAAAGAAAAATGAAGGAAAGAAAATGAATGAAAGAAAATGAATTAAAGGAGAAAGGAAAATGAAGGAAAGAAAATGAAAGAAGAAAGGAAAATGAAGGAAAGAAAATGAATGAAAGAAGAAAGGAAAATGAAGGAAAGAAAATGAAAGAAGAAAGGAAAATGAAGGAAAGAAAATGAAGGAAAGAAGAAAGGAAAATGAAGGAAAGAAAATGAATGAAAGAAGAAAGGAAAATGAAGGAAAGGAAATGAAAGAAGAAAGGAAAATGAAGGAAAGAAAATGAATGAAAGAAAATGAATGAAAGAAGAAAGGAAGATGAAGGAAAGAAAATGAAAGAAGAAAGGAAGATGAAGGAAAGAAAGAAAAATGAAAAAAAGATAGTAAGAAAGACAAAAAGCAAACAAGAAAAAAGGAATAAAAGAAGGAAAGAACATAAATGAAAGAAAATGAATGAAAGAAAGTGTAAAAAATCTTAAAATCAAATAAATAAAAAAGAAAAAAATGATTGAAAGAAAGAAAAAGCGAAAAATAAATACAGCAAACAACAACGGAAACGAATGAATGAAAGAAAGAAATATGGAAAACAATAAAGAAAAACAATAAATGAAAGAAAGAGAAATGAAAATGATAGTAAGATACACAAAAAGCAAGCAAGAAAGAAAAGTAATGAAAGAAAAAAGAAAGAGAAACAAAAAGCAAGAAAAAATAATGAAGGAAAATGAAGGAAAGAAAAATATAGAAAATGAAAGGAATAAAGAATGAAAGAAAGAAAATGAAAGAAAGACAAAAGGCAAGCAAGAAAGAAAATGAATTAGAAGATAGAAAAATGAAAGAAAGATAGTAAGAAAGACAAAAAGCAGGAAAGAAAGAAAATGAATGAAAAATGAAAGAAAGAAAAAATGAGAGAATATGAAAGAAAGAAAGAATGAAAGAAAGAACGAAAGAAAGAAAAAGAAAGAAATACAAAACAATCAAGAAAGAAAATGAATGAAAGAAAGAAAAATGAAAGAAGTATAATAAGAAAGACAAAAAGCAGGAAAGAAAGAAAATGAATGAAATAAAAATGAAAGAAAGAGAAAATGATAGAAAATGAAAAAAGAATGAAAGAAAGAAAGAAAATGAAAGAAAGAAAAATACTGTCAAATACCACATTGTGAAAGAAATACGTGATATAATCAAAGACAATCGTGTTAAAATGATTCCAGTTTTCTTTGTCTCTTGCCATCATCGGTGTTATCCTTTCTCGAATCTCTTTCCATTAAATTTTATGACGAGCCTAAAAGCGGGCGAAAACAATGATACCTATGAAAATAACGCTCTTTCAACATCATTGACGATTGCTGTAACAAATTACTTGTGGCAATCGTCAGAACTAATGACGCAAAGGAGTTCCGTAGGTGAAATTCACGTTGCAAATCTCACTCTGACGTGATTCTCGCCTGCAGATCTTTCTGACCGCCCGACAACATTTTTGGATTGAAACGGACAGAATACACGATTATTATTTCATGCTAATAAAAAAAAAATATATAATAAATGTTTCAAAGACTGTTAAATATATATATATATATATATATATATATATATATATATATATATATATATATATATATATATATATACAAATATAGATAACTATACTCGTTTCGGAAAACCCTCGAATTTTTGATTTGCCAATAATCCAATCAATCTGGAAGGAAAAAAAAGGTTTAAAAAAAAAGTAAGAGCTAGAAACATGAAAGTCTGTCGTAAAAAATCGCACAGATACAAATTTGAAGCCCAAATAAAAAACCCCATACGAGTTTTATCTAAGTATTCACAACATTTTGCATTTTTCTTTCCTATTAAACTCACCTTTTTTCAAATATCACACATTAACACATTAGCTGTTTTTTTTTGTTTTTTTTTTTGTAATTATCGCGTCTTCACAGGGCAGTTTTTATTGCCGTAGATTTTTTTTTAGCTATGAAATACATGTAGCTGTTTTGTTCCTAAATTTATCAAACATTTATTGAGATGTTTTTTTCATGGCTATTGTTTCTAAAAAGTCTAGTCGTTTTTTACAGTCTAATTTTCATGCGAGATTTTTGTGTTATTGATAAATACTTGTTTGTGTTTTATTGCTGTGTGCGCTGTTGATATGCGATTTAATTGAATTATACATTGCAAGTTAATCGACGCGATAATGTTGTGTGCGTGTAAACATTGTGTCTGAATTTTGAATTATTATTGTAGAATTCTAGAAATGGGAAGCGAATATTTTTTAGTTGGTGGTGATTATGTTGGCAAATTTTAGGTTTTTACAGAAATTGATGAGATTTAATTTTTTGCTTTGTTTTTTTTTTCGATAGATGCTATATATCTTTGTATTGGGTTCATGCGCGGTATATTTGCATGTAATTCGTTTTAAATATGCATCGCTTATATTTTTGTTGTCTGTTTTTGTTTGTGTTTTTAACGCAGAAATTTTTCGTTTTGTATCAAGCGAACATTCTGAACGATAGATTCGGGAATACATATGTAAAAGCCAAGAAAATAAATACCCTGTATTATTTACGAACTGAGTACAAGGGAAAAAAGATTTATGTTCGAATACACGCAACTTACCACAAGAAAAGAATACACAAAACACACACATATCTGTACGTATCTCTCTCTCTCTCTCTCTCTATATATATATATATATATATATATATAAATATGTGTGTATGTATGTGTGTGTGTGCGTGTACGCGCGGCGTGTTTATATGTGTATTTATCCTCACAGAAGACCCAGATAGGAAAAACAATGTGTTTATTTTCAAATCAAATGCACCAAAATTTCTAAGGTAATATCTATGTTAATTTTTTTTTTTTTTATCTATATCGAAGGTATAGCGACATGGAAATGTCGAGCGATTGATTGTTGAAGCAAACTCATATACGCACACGAAATTACATAAATAATAAAAACAAGTAAATTAATGGACAAAAAATTAAGAAAGAATAAAAATGCCATTTGGTAAAAAATATGATTCAACCAGAGACAGGAAAAGAAAGCTTCGGTTGCAAACAAATGAATCTTATGACAAACGTATATATTTGTTTATATTTTGTGAATTCTGTTACACACGCACACACACACGCGCACACACACACACACACATATATATATATATATATATATATGGTGGCTTGATGATTGCGTCTAGCATGAAACAGACTGTCGCCTGTAAGTGTTGACTTCTATGTTCACTTTTATATTTATATTGTATATATATATATATATATATATATATATGTGTGTGTGTGTGTGTGTGTGTGTGAATTCACATATACACATGTAGCAAAAGACTAAAAAATACAAAATTAAGATACACATTTGTTACATCAGATGGCCCGCACACACATATAGTAATAATGATATATTCCATAAAAACAAAAAGTCATGCCTATATATATATATATATATATATATATATATATATATATATACTCACGATTACGAATTACTTGGAAATATATGCAAATTGTTCACATTTTTGTTTAATCTCAGTACCTCTATATATCTCTCTCAGCCTCTATCTATCTATCTATCTATCTATCTATCTATCTATCTATCTATCTATCTATCTATCTATTCAGTATACCCCCGTCCGTTCATATCTATATTTGTTTGATCTATCTATCTATCTATCTATCTATCTATCTATCTATCTATCTATCGTAATTCCTCTCTACTCATATCTAAAAATTATTATCATAATTTAACAATTTCTCTCTCACTCTCTCTGCATGTCTCTCTCTCTCTCTCCATCTATATATATATATATATATATATATATATATATATATATATATATATATGGTGCGTGTTTGTGTGCGTGTATCTATCTCACTACCTTACTTACCGCCTGTGTGTCTGCATATACATAAGTATGTTTGCGTATATATATATAGAGAGAGATAGATAGATAGATAGATAGATAGATAGATAGATAGATATTATAAGCTGAGGAATTAATCTTCTTTCCCATTTTCTCTCTTGATTCAATCAACGAATGTTCGCCTCTTCGGACCCGTCTGGGATTCTTCGACTTGATAAAAGTCTCGAAAATACTTCGCCAATTCTTAGCTATATCTTTCGTGTCAGCGACTAGGGACGTCAATACCATTATCTTTCATTCCAGTCATAATATCCACGATCCATTATTTATATTGGCCTTATAATTGCATCGGAAACAATCGTGTGTATTTTTACATCCAACCAAATATCAGCGCTCTGGCCTCCTGCCTACGTTTGCGTGGCAAAACGACCTCGCTTTTCAGATATACTACCTCTGTTCCTATTCTTCAGTCCTTTATCTTTTCTTCTAGAGGAAGATTTGCGTTGTTTGTAAACGGATCAGAAGCAATCTACTGATCAGTGTATGATTTTAAGTGTCCTGTATTGATGTCAAACAATGTAA